TTATCAGATCTGAGGGTTTTTTGGTAGAGTCTTTAGATTTTTCCATTTATATAAGATCATGTCATCTGCAAACAGGGACAGTTTGACTTCTTCCTTTGGATGCCCTTTCTTTCTCTTGCCTAATTGCCCTGGCTAGGAGGAATTGTTACGTCTGATGGGGAATATAGGAACTTTAAATTCTATGTCCTTAACTACTATTTTATTTTACCATGAGCATGTATATTTTATAACATTAAAAAAAAAGCATGATAGTTTTCGGTATTATAGCAACAATCACCAACTGGCCTTTGGTGATTTAGATTTCCTTGGTGAGTTAGAAATCTAATGGGAACAGTTTGGGAATCTGTATCCTAACAGGTATTTCTTTTTTTTTTTTTTGAGACGGAGTCTCGCTCTGTCACCCAGGCTGGAGTACAGTGGCACGATCTTGGCTCACTGCAACCTCCACCTCCTGGGATTAAGTGATTCTCCTGCCTCAGCCTCCCGAGTAGTTGGGATTACAGGCGTGCACCACCACACCTGGCTAATTTTTGTATTTTTAGTAGAGGCGGGGTTTCACCACGTTGGTCAGGCTGGTCTCGATCTCCTGACCTCGTGATCCGCCCGCCTCAGCCTTCCAAAGTGCTGGGATTACAGGCGTGAGCCACCGCTCCCGATCCTAACAGGTATTTCAAGTGGTCCCCATGGTCAGATAACTGTGCTAGAGAAAGAGTGAACTGCATACAAATATGCATAATTAAGATTAAGAGGAAATTACCATAAAAGGAAATTAAAAGAATGGGATTACTTTGAATGATGCTCAACTAAGAAATTGTAAAATTTGGAGATGATAAATGATTCTCTAGGAAATTATCAAATCTTAGAGATAGTAAACCTAGCTTATTTCAGATAGAATGGAAGAAACTAAAAAACATATGAGAGCTATTGCCTCACCTGTATCACTGGTGAATTATTTCAAATCTTCATGAAACACCTAATTCCTAATCTATTTAAAGTATTTCAGAGCAGAGAGAAAAAAGTAGTTCGCAAGTTCTGCTGAAAAAGCCAGTATAACACCAACTCCAAAGCATGGCAAAGATTATGTATGCTTTGAAACTTAATTATTCTAAGATTGTGGTTAAAATATTTTATAAATATTATTTGGGAAAGTAATACACCACGTCTAAATGAAATTCATTCCACGAATCAAAGGATGGTTCTATGTTAGGAAATCTGTTAATATACTTACTTATATCTTAATATACTTAGTAATATCAGTGGGCCAAAGAGAAAATTATGATCTTTTAGTTTTCTGCACAAAATCCACAGATGATAAAATTAACATCTTTAAGTGGTTTTTGAAAATATAAAACCCAAAACAAGATTCTTAGAAGAACAGAACTAGAACTAGCTTTTTGTTTTGTTTTGTTTTGAGACAGAGTTTCCCCCTTGTTGTCCGGGCTGGAGTGTAATGGCACGATCTTGGCTCACTGCAACCTCTGCCCCCCAGGTTCAAGTGATTCCCGTGCCTCAGCCTCCTGAGTAGCTGGGATTAGAGGCGTGGGAGGCATGTGTCACCACACCCAGTGGTAATTTTGTATTTTTAGTAGAGACAAGGTTTCTCCATGTTGGTCAGGCTGAACTCGAACTCCTGACCTCGTGATCCGCCTGCCTCGGCTCCCAAAGTGCTGTGATTACAGGCGTGAGCCACCGCTCCCGGCCTTAAGAGTTTCTTTAACCAAAGGTGTTGGCAGAGTGTTAGCCGGTATCATGCTTAATGATAAAACACTAGAAGTGATCTTGTTAAAGTTTGGAACAAGACCATAAATCAATGGCTATCCCAAATAAAATCTCAGTTTATTCTGACAAATGATTCTAAGGATTATTTAGAAGAATAAATATATGAGGATAATTCAGAAATTTCTAAACAGCAAAAAAATCGAGGGTGGACTAATCCTATCAGATGTTTAAATATTATAAAGCTAAAGTAATTAAAACACTGGGTTACAGCTCCAGGACTAGCATACAAAACTGTAACATAAGGAGCCCAGAAATAAGCACATGTAAATATAGGAGTTGCTTTTCAAGTTAATGGAGAAAAGAGTTTTTTAATAAATGGTTAACTTTTTCTTTTTTTTGCGGGGGAGACAGAGTCTTGTTCTGTTGCCCAGGCTTAAGTGAAGTAGCACCATCATAGCTTACTGCAGCCTCAACTTGTAGGCAAAAGTGATCCTCCCACCTCAGCCTCCTGAGTAGTTGGGACTACAGGCATGTGCCACCACATCCAGTTAATTTTTAACTCAATTTTTTTTTTCATGTAGATGAGATCTCACCATGTTGCCAAGGCTGGTCTTGAACTCCTCCTGGCCTCAAGCAGTCCTCCTACCTTGGCCTCCCAGAGTGTTGCAATTACAGGCATGAACCACTGCTCCTGGCCTCAATGGTTAACTATTGAGGAGGATCAAAAGGATATCTGGTTTGCTTCTCATTCCAAAATAAATTCCAGTTTTGTCAGATTTGGATATTTTCAATATTAATCATAAGCATTCTAGAAGAAAACATGTATAAAGACCTTTTTTCTAAGTCTAGCAAACTCAAAAGTCCTAAAAGGGGGAAATTATAAGCTTATATAAAAATTGAAAATTCTGTATCACCAAAACAGCTTTTTTGGAAAAAACAGATAAACTAGAAAACAACGTGTACAGTATGATCTGGCTTCTGCGTAAGTCATCAGCTCCATCTGCTGCATTCCCTCCTCCCCATCAATCCTACACACACTTAAACTACACACACTTACAGCTACACTCCGGTCTTTCCTTCCTGTGGGTGCTCAGTAAATAGTCATTGAATAAATGAATGAATTCTGTGAGAGTTTGCAGGTCAATATGTATGATATAATAAAACCTTTTTTTAATGAGACGGAGTTTCAGTCTGTCACCCAGTCTGGAGGGCAGTGGCTTGATCTCGGCTCACTGCATCCTCCACCTCCTGGGTTCAAATAATCCTCCCACCTCAGCCTCCCGAGAATTACCAGTGTACACCACCACACCTGGCTAACTTTTGTATTTTTAGTAGGGATTTCACCGTGTTGGCCAGACTGGTCTTGAACTCTTTTTTTTTTTTCTGCGATAGAGTCTTGCTCTGTCGCCCAGGCTGGAGTGCAGTGGCATGATCTCAGCTCACTGCAAGCTCCACCTCCCGGGTTCACGCCATTCTCCTTCCTCAGCCTCCCGAGTAGCTGGGACTATAGGTGCCCACCACCACACCCGGGTAATTTTTTGTATTTTTAGTAGAGATGGGGTTTCACCGTGTTAGCCAGGATGGTCTCGATCTCCTGGCCTTGTGATCCACCTGCCTCGGCCACCCGGAGTGCTGGGATTACAGGCATGAGCCACCATGCCTGGCCCAAGTGATTGGCCTGGGCCGCCTTGGCCTCCCAGAGTGCTGTGATTACAGACATGAACCACTGTCCCCGGCCATAATAAAACTTCTTAAAATGAATAAAGAAGATTAACAATCCATTAAAAATTGCCAGAGAACAAGTTGGGCAAGTCAGGAAATTTTTTTGCATTTCTATGCAAATGACTAACAAATATAGAACTTTTAATAAATACCAATTAAAACAGCATTGAGATTCTGTCTCCCTTCTTGAACACTGCCTCCTCATTTCTAACCATTTCCTTGGTGTCTTCCCAAAATGTCAACAAACCATACTGTGAACTCCTTTTAGGTCTTTCCTCTGTCTAGCAGATACCTGGCATACATTAGATGCATTGTTATATAAACAAAAGTATCTGAGATATGTAATGATCCTCTGCGAGGCGTCAAGTGGGCAGAAAAGAGTAGAGGATTGAGGCCGAGTGGCCTTCCTTTTTTAACTCTCCTTTTCCTCATAGTTCCCTTAATGGTGTAGCCTGCCTCTTTATTCTCTTAGCCCTTTTAAATTTCTTCAGAAGGACATGCTCCTTAGTGGCAGGAACAGGAACTTCTTTGAGTGCTGGTCAGCCAGCAAAAGTGACTCTTTTTGTGTATGTAAACAAATGGTTATTATTGTTGTGATACAATTGCTTAATCATTAATAGGTGCTTTTTTTTGAAGTCCTGTGAATACTTTCTTCGGACTTAATACCTCAGCATCTCAGATACTTTATCTTCCTTTGAGCGTTTTGGAAAAACAGACTAAAACTGCTCTCTCTATACAAAAATTTGTATTATTTGAAAAGATACAACAGGGATACTTAGTGTTTAAGATAAGATTATAATATCTGCATAGTAGAAACCTCCAGCTTTTAGAGTTATAATTTTGTAATCTGAAATCATATTTTTCGAATGTAATATTTTCTTGCGCTAGCAAGTCTGGAAATACTTGTTGAAAGACTGGAATGATTAATGTAGATCCTTGAACACTTTCTTGCTTTAAATAAAAGGACAGACAAATTTTGTTCATTTTAAAGAACAGTAGTGTAGCCATATTAAATACATTTGGAAAATAAGAGGGAAAAATCCAACTCTTAATCTCACCTAAAAAATTGTGATAAACTTTTTTTTAATAGTTTCCAAATTTGTGTTTTTATGGTTAAAATTATGTATATTGCCTTTCTTCCCCACTTGATGAATCCTTAGCATTTTTCCATGTTGTTAACGTCATTTAAAGACTATCACTTTAAATGGCTACATAATTGTCTCTTAGTCACATGGTTGTATTGTATGTGCAGTGCTTATGAAGAAGAGCGGGTGGTACGTTGTTTCTTTAAACATGTGACTCGTAACAAAAAATTTTTTCTAAGAGAATTGCTAATTGTATGGATTTTGATAAGTAGGAGAACGGTGACCTTACTGCAAAGCGGTGACTTTTTGTTTGTAAACATGTGAACCTGAAACTTGAGGAAGTTGGTTGTCAGTTGTGTTAAACCATCTATTAGATAGATATTTTTAGACGTTACAAACAAGTTGGGTAGCTGCTTATTTTTGAAGGGAGAATTTTGTCGTGAATCTTAATGTTAACATTATGTTATCTTATAGATCATGGAGCTTTGTGGTGCAACAAGACTTGGTTATTTTGGAAGAAGTCAGTTCTACATTGCTTTGAAACTTGTAGCTGTTGCCCAGTCTGGTTTCCCTTTAAGAGTGGAAAGTATAAATACAGGTAAATATAGAGTACACTAGTAACTGAAAGAAAATAGGCTTCTATTACAAATGAAGTCAAGTCAACAGAACCCTTGTGTCTTTCTGATCTTATAGTGGCATTTGTGACCTTGAGTGAAGTGTCGTGACTTTATTCCCACTACCTTGCATTTCTCACTTGAAAATACTAGAAAAATATGTCTGTCTTTTATTACGGCATAGTATATGTACTTCATCTGTATTCGACTGTATGTACTGTTCAAATGGCAAATTTTTAAGAATTTACTAAAAGTTGTTTAGAAATATTTTAAGCGAATAGTTTTATTAAGGTAAATGATAAATTATAGTGACCATCTTCATATATAACATCCCTGTTTTCTTCATTTCTAATAAAACAACATTATACTTTGTATTTTTGTTTGTTTGTTTGGGAAGGCTATGGAGGCTCCAGTTGAAATTAAGAAGTAACAGTTAACCTAAACTTTTTGATTGACAGAGACAATATTAAAATATTGGCAGACTAAAATCTAGTTACAGACATCTGACCGCATTACAATTTTGTATTAGTCCGTTTTTACACTGCTATAAAGAAATCCCTGAGACTGGGTAATGTATAAACAAGAGAGGTTTAATTGACTCACTTCCGCATGACTTGGGAGGCCACAGGAAACCTACAATTGTGGCAGAAGGTGAATGGAAAGCAAGGCATGTCTTACATGGCCACAGGAGAGAGAGAGAGAGAGAGCAAGGGGGAATTGCCACAGACATTTAAACCATCCGATCTCATGAGAACTCACTCACTATCACAAGAACAGCAATGGGGGAATTGCCCCCATGATCTGATCACCTCCCATGTGGGAATTACAATTCGAGATGAGATTTGGGTGGGAACACAGAGTCAAACCATATCAAAGTGTTACTTCATCAGATAATTTGTTTTTCAAGTATTTAGAGACTTGTTGATGTGAAAGAAGATAGAAAGTCTACAAAGATAGGCACTTAAATGCGGAGGGTTCTTTCGTTTTCATAGCGTAAAGGGGAAAGAGAAAAATTAAGATTTTTAAAATAATCTGTACAGAAAAATTGCTGTAAAATTCTGTAAATATCAGAATTTGTAGAAATAGTTTTAAGTACCAGTTTAGTTTATTGGTCAGTGGAGGTTTTCATTGTGGACCTCTAGTTTGCCACACATCTTTCTTCTAGTGTTGCGAGTTTACATTCTTTTCAGGTAATTTTGAATTCTTTTACATGTATATTGAATAAGCTTAATAGTTTCCCTCCTTCATATGGAGGTTCTAAAGAGAGACAGAGGTAATCATATAATGGAGGTAAGTACACTTTCCTCTGAAATGATTCTGTAGCTGTATTTTTTCTAGTCTAAAAGTATCACTTATGATTTACCTGCAAACAGTTTTTCAGTCCTTCCTCTTTCTCCTCTATTTAAAATTGAATGTAGAATAGAATACTGTGTACCATGTTTTTGGTAGGTGAACAGTAAGGTATTTTTAGGAATTTCTGCCATGAAAATTTCTAAATCTAGTCTCAGACTTAGTGACATATTCTGTGTTTTACTTAGAGGTCTAAAAGCTTAAAGACCCGGTGTGAGTAGAAGCAGCCTAGGCTTTGGGGTCTGACTGACCTAGGTTTAGATCCTGTCAGTTACTACGAGCATGACCTTGCCATCAGGAAACCTCAGTTTTCTTTTCTGTAAATAGGGACTTTGCAGGCGTACCGTGGTTACGAGGTGAAATAAATATTCAATGACAAGTGTAGGGCTAAACATACATAGACATTTGATATAGCCATTGTATCACTCACTAGAAGGACAATTTGGTTTTATTACTTCTTTCTAGGTAAGAGTCTCCCTAAATAATGTAAGGGAGATTATGGTCCATATTTTGTGGTGATAGACATTTTGTGCCTTTTGTTTCTGTATCCATTTTTACAAAAATTCTGATATCTAATTCATGTCTTTAGTTTTTAATATATATGTCCTTTTTTATTTTAAAGTAATGATTATTTTGTGGTTAACAGTAAAGGACCTTCCTCTGCCAAGATTTGTTGCTTCAAAAAATGAACAGGAATCTCGCCATGCAGCCTCATATTCTTCAGATTCTGAAAATCAAGGGTCATATTCTGGTGTAATTCCCCCACCACCTGGCAGGGGGCAAGTGAAAAAGGGATCCGTAAGCCATGATACGGTTCAGCCTCGTACATCTGCAGATGCACAGGTAATCACATGCATGTAAATATTAGCAGTTGATGCCCTGTGCAAATGCTTCACTAAAACATTTATTGGTAGCTTAATAATTAACATGTCTCCTTAAAATTACAATTTTAAAATATTGTTCTTTTCTAGGAACCTGCCTCCCCAGTAGTTTCACCACAGCAATCCCCACCAACTTCTCCACACACATGGAGGAAGCACAGCCGTCATCCCAGTGGTGGGAATAGTGAGAGGCCTCTTGCGGGACCTGGGCCATTTTGGTCTCCCTTTGGTGAAGCACAATCAGGTATTTAGAGATGTATTGATTAGAGTGTCATTGTGTTGCCCAGGCTGGTCTTGCACTCCTGGGTTCAAATGATCCTCCTGCCTCAGCCTCCTGAGTAGGTGGGGATTATAGGCTTGTGCCACAGAACCTGGCTTAGAGATTTTTTTAAAATAACAATTATTTAGGGTTGTAAATTGAAGGAAACTTGATAATATTCCTTCAGGAGTTGCCTTCAAGACAGTTTTTAATTGTAAGTTAAGTTAAATAAAAGCAAAAGCCAACTATGGGAGATTTATAAGTGGATACATTGCTTTGAAAAGTGGTAATTGCATTTATGTGTATCTATGATGCTTAGACACATTTATGGATACCAGATTCTCTAAAGGTAAAATGAATAATTATTTCCCAGAATATTATGTATAAATTACATAAATTTTATTGACAAGGAGAGCACAAAATAATTGAAGATATTTAAATGAGGTATAATTTCTAATTGAATAGAAAAGATTCCATTTTGGAAATTGTTAGATTTCTTCAGAGTAAGAGTTTGAAAGAAAACTTCCTGATAACTTAAGTTTTTTCCTCAAACATGAGTCAGCATGTTTACCCATTCTCCTTATAGGTTCTTCTGCTGGTGATGCAGTGTGGTCAGGGCATTCCCCACCTCCACCTCAAGAAAACTGGGTCAGTTTTGCAGATACTCCACCAACCAGTACTCTTTTAACCATGCATCCTGCTTCTGTCCAGGTGTGACATTTTATTGGTATTGCATTTTTATTTGCTTCATTCAGAGTATTGCTCCAGTCATCATTTTTATATTTTGCTGTTGCAGATTTTATAAATGCAAATCCATTCATTTATTTAAAAGCAAAATTCTGCTCTGTGCATTTCAAATCTGTTATCATTGGAATGTTTCAGCTGATTTTATTTCAGTTTCTGATTTCCTAGTGAAGTTTTGAAAGGTTTCTGCATCTGGAAATATATTTGCTTGGCTTTCTTAGCACATTTTCATAACTTTCTGTTGCTTGCATAATTGCTGTCATTCTACTCATTTCTATAATCATTGTGCAAAAACATATCCAATAATCTGACTGTAACAGATATGTGGTTTTACATTTTAAATATCCACAAAAAGCAAGTTTTATTTTCGAAGATAAATAACCTAGCAATCTTGGTCCATATAATCATGTAGGTAGATATTGTACTGAGGAAAAAATGTTTCATTACAGGATCAGACAACAGTACGAACTGTAGCATCAGCTACATCTGCCATTGAAATTCGTAGGCAATCCAGTAGTTATGATGATCCCTGGAAAATAACAGATGAACAAAGACAGTATTATGTAAATCAGTTTAAAACCATTCAGCCTGATCTAAACGGATTTATTCCAGGTGAGTTGTTGGAAAACAGAAGTTCTTCTAGATGGGACAGGACAGTCTCAATTTCATAATCTCAAAGATACTGTTTTATTGGTCATAGATTTTAATTATAAAATAATTATCAGATTATTTGTCTAAAAAGAATTTATAATCACTGGGAGCCAAAAACATGACATATTCACATATTAAAAATATCTTTTCCCAGTTAAAAAAGTCTAAGACTCTTACATTCTGTTGGTGGATCCGTAAGTTCAGAATAACATTAAACAACACTGTTTTAATATTTCAGGATCTGCAGCTAAAGAGTTTTTTACAAAATCAAAACTTCCTATTCTTGAACTTTCTCATATTTGGTAAGTGTGGTATATCATTAGTTGGGTGACTGGGTTGTTTCCAAGGAGTTTCTAGCAGATAGATTTTAGAGCCTTAAAAAATAAACAACTAACCCTTCAAGAATGCTGTCAAAGAACTCAGTATTTCCTTACAATAGCCAGCTTCTCTTTCATTCTGTAGAAAAGAAATAAGTGATACTGATACAGTAGTTCTTTGTAAAGAGCTAAAATTCTTTAAGCTGTATCAACTGTCTTTTTGTTGCATGAGATAAAAGTTAGTTTGCACATACATGGTTATATTTATCCCATTGGTGTTTTATCAAGTTTAGTTAAGTCCTATACCATGCCATAACTTTAGGAATGGTGTTAGCGTCCATTTAACCAGATACTTAAGAACAGCTGTGTTGGAATATGGTTGGAATTGGCCATTAGAACACAAAGTGTAATCACAAATTACTTTATAAAAACAGGCAGGGGCCGAGCACGGTGGCTCATGCGTGTTATCTTAGCACTTTGGGAGGCCGAGGCAGGCGAACTGCCCGAACTCAGGAGTTTGAGACCATCCTGGGCAACACGGCGAAACCCTGTCTCTACAAAAAAATTAGCCGGGCATGGTGGCACATGCCTGTAATCCCAACTACTGGGGAGGCTGAGGCACGAGAATCGCTTGAACCCGGGAGGTGGAGGTTGCAGTGAGCCAAGATCGCGCCACTTCACTCCAGCCAAGGTGACAGAACGAGACTCTGTCTCAAAAAACCAAAAACAAACAGAAAACACAGGCTGGGAGTTGTGGTTAACGCCTGTAATTCCAGCACTTTGGGAAGCCGAGGCAGGCAGATTGCTTGAGCCCAGGAGTTCAAGACCAACCTGAGCAACATGATGAAACCCCGTCTCTACAAAAAATTAAAAAATTAGCAAGGTGTGGTGGTGCAAGCCTGTAGTCCTGGATACTTGGGAGGCTTACATGGGAGGATTGCTTGAGTCCAGGAGGCAGAGTTTGCAGTGAGCTGAGATCATACCACAGCACTGTAGCCTGGGCAACAGAGTGAGACTCTGTCTCAAAAATAAGTAAAAAACGATTATCAAATAAACATAAATGTTAATTCCAGTGTGTATCAATGTATTTCTCTATATTCTAAATCATTTTTAATAGGTTTTTGGTAGCATAGAGTGCTTAGTACAAGGTAGGTAGATAACACCTGAAACTGAAAACTCAAAAACTAGTAATATATGCATGCTATTTATAGTTTAAGGCAATCAAGACAAAAGTGGTTGTCTGTGTATCTAGGAAAGGGCATAGACAGCAAGGTGGAGTGGCTGTATTTCTGTTTTAAGCCTTGCAGTTCTACTCAGTGATTTAAAGTATGTACATGTTGGCCGGGCGCAGTGGCTCACGCTTGTAATCCCAGCACTTTAGGAGCCTGAGGCAGGTGGATCACATGAGATCAGGAGTTTGAGACTAGCCTGGCCAAAATTAGCCGGGCATGGTGGTGTGTGTCCGTAATCCCAGCTACTCAGGAAGCTGAGGCAGGAGGTGGAGGTTGCAGTGAGCCAAAGCTCATGCCACTGCACTCCAGCCTGGGCGACAGAGCAAGACTCTATCTCAAAAAAATATAAACAAAAAATAAAGTACATACGTGGTGAATTTTGATAACATAAAAGCAAACTTTAAAAAAAGTCACTAATTTATTACATGTGCCTTCTAAAAATGCATGTGAGTTACAGGTCATTCTTTTTGATGACCTTAATTATTGGGGCCACTTTTTAGAGAATTTCAAACACACAGGAAAGCTTAATAGTACCATAAACCCTCACATACTACCACCTAGATTCTGCAGGTAACATTTTGCTACATTTGCTGTGTTACACATCTTTCCGTGTATGGGATTTTTATAATTACAGAGTTTTTGCACTTTCTCATGGAAAATATTTCTCTTGCTTCTTTTTGAGAAATGAAAGGATCCAAAGCGGAATGTGATTATATTCACAATAAACTTATCTTCTAGGGAACTCTCAGACTTTGATAAAGATGGTGCATTGACACTGGATGAGTTTTGTGCTGCTTTTCATCTGGTGGTTGCTAGGAAGAATGGCTATGATTTACCAGAAAAACTTCCTGAAAGCTTAATGCCCAAACTGATTGATTTGGAAGATTCAGCAGGTAAGACTGGGAGCTAAAGAGAGCTGTTTGCATGCCTTGATAAACATAATGCTTGATTCTGAAAGAAAAATCAAGATAGAGGTTAACCAGAGCTTAATAGCCAAGGTATTTCATCAAGTGTACATAGATTTGTCATCAGAATAGGATGTATGAGCCAAACTTGGATTTGTCTTACTCAGTCTACTTTTAAAAATAAAGATAAGTAATATATACCACTATTTTACCTTTATATTTGTGGCTTGACAAGATTTGAAGAGCATTTCAGCGTCTTGTTATTTTGCTATCCTTTAATTGTGATAAATATTGTCTCAAGTGGGTAAAGTAACCCATCTTCATTATAAACATTTTTCTCTTTAATACGTCTTAATTTGTTGAAGGGAAATTATGTGGTTCATCATTAGACCTTTACAGTTGTGAGAATTTTTCTTTAAAATGCCAAGCTCTCTTCTGCAGACTCAAAGAAATCTGGAGTTTTTGTGTTTGATTTTAGAGAATGCTGTGTTGTTAACAAGAATGCGAAATGCTCGTATTTATTGGGACCTTTCTTTCTTTCTTCCTTCTCTTTTTTTTTTGAGACGGAGTCTCGTTCTGTCACCAGGCTGGAGTGCAGTGGCATGATCTCGGCTCGCTGCAGTTTCCACCTCCCGGGTTCAAGCGATTCTCCTGCCTCAGCCTCCTGAGTAGCTGGGACTACAGGCACACGCCACCATGCCCAGCAAATTTTTGTATTTTTAGTAGAGACGGGGTTTCACCACGTTGGCCAGGATGGTCTGTATCTCTTGACCTCATGATCTGCCTGCCTCGGCCTCCCAAAGTGCTGGGATTACAGGCGTGAGCCACCATGCCCGGCCTGGACCTTTCTTTAAAAAGAAAAAGAATATCAAGGGCTAAAAATTAGTACATTTTTCTTAAATTCTGAGTGAATAAAAGGAAATCTAATGTTTAATTCTTAATGAGTCTAATTAAAATAAATTATTGTCTTCAGTGTTTCTATCTAAATTCTCATTTGGATGTGATGATGGAAAGAATTTGATACTTTTAAAAGGGAAGTTCAAATAGAATTTGGCTCTCAAAAGGGCATTTTTCTATCAGGCAGCATCTGTTTAACCTAAAAATATACATGTCTGACTTAGTTGTCTAAATTACACAGAAGGAATCAGATGCATGAAATTACTGTCACAAAGAGAACAGTCTCCTTGGAGTCAATAATCTGAATGTGCTTCTAGTTTTGCTAATTTCGCCTGTGACCTTGGGCAAGTTCTAATCATTTACTGTATTTTTCCCTTCTGTTTCTCCACCTGAAATGTGGATTTGATGCCATTCACATTTCAGGACCTGAATTGTACACTGACCTTTTATCAACCAATAGGTTGATTCTAAAAATATGGCATTGATTTTAATTTCTTAAGCACATTTTTCTATGATAATCCTAGCATTTGGGGATTATTTCAGGTAGTTGTGAAGCATCAGCCTCTAACTTGAGCTGAAAGCTTAGTATCTTTATTAGGTAATTTTGATTCAAAGTACTTTGATTTACCTACTTAAGAAACAAAAACAACTTCTTTGTTAAACACCTATGATAGCAACCAAAAGAGAGAAGAAAATGTGGTAACTTCACACTTTCAGTATCATTGATTTAGAAATTGGACTTGTACCTAGAGCTTTTATATGACTTCAAGCCTTTGAAAACCGACAGCACAATAATACAAGAAACTAATTTAAATGAAGTTTAATGTCTTGTAGGTGATTTTGTAGAGGCTTGTCTGATTCTGTTGTCTGCTGTATTTGTCAGTGAATCTGGCTTTTGCATGCATTTATTGGGTTTCTTTTTCCTTTATTTAATTTAAATAAAAATCAAGTTCTTTGTAAATTTGATCTATAAGGTTGATGGTTCAGGAAGTTTTTTTCTGGGCATTTATCTTTTTGTCTAATTTTACACCTATTAGATCTGTTTAAAAGACAGACTGATTTTATTGACTGTGTATATCTATGCACTGTTGCCCTAAATATAATTTTGAAACTATCACAGACCCAGATAGTTTTTTTTTCCCCTCACAACATATGGTTTTCTCACCAAATTTATTGTAAACATTTGGATCACACAGTATTACATTCAAATCTGCTTTTCATATTTACAAATGATAAATTTTGGAATTCTGTTGATTCTGGGGTGATGTAATACAAATTATCATTTTTTTCCCACCTATCATAAACCTGAGATTCACATGACAAAAGGTCCTTCCAGTATAGAAATTGTTTTGTGACTCTGTGGGTCAGTCAGTATCCGTAAAAATCATTATAAAAAAAAATTAGCCGGATGTGGTGGTGTGTGTGCACCTGTAGTCCCAGCTACTTGGGAAGCTGAGGCAGGAGAATTGCTTGAACCCTGGAGGTAGAGGTTGCAGTGAGCCAAGATCGCACCACTGCATTCCAGCCTGGGTGACAGAGTGAGACTGTCTAAAAAAAAAAAAAAAAAAAATTATAAAAATATCTGTGTTTTGGCTGGGCGCGGTGGCTCACGCCTATAATCCCAGCACTTTGGGAGGCCAAGGCAGGCGGATCACGAGGTCAGGAGATCAAGCCCATCCTGGCTAATACAGTGAAACCCCGTCTACTAAAAATACAAAAAAATATTAGCCGAGCATGGTGGTGGGTGCCTGTGGTTCCAGCTACTCGGGAGACTGAGGCAGGATCATGACATGAACCCGGGAGGTGGAGCTTGCAGTGAGCTGAGATTGTGCCACTGCACTCCAGCCTGGGGGACAGAGCGAGACTCCATCCCCCAAAAAAACAAAAAGAAAAAATAGCTGTGTTTTTAAAAGGTCATGGTTAAGAGGGTCATACTCAAATAGTTTCTTTTGGCTGACATTAGAATTTATTGTAAATATTCCTCTGTGGAGCCTTTCTGACTATAGGCAGAGGTAGTTTATCTCATTTCTGATCTCTTATAGCATTTTCTACATGCTGATTACTGAAACATACCACACTAAATCCTGGGTTTTTTTCCGCCTTCCTATCACTATACTCTGAATTCCTTGAAATAAGGGAAATGTATCCTATTTATTGTAGTATGCTTAAAACATACCACTTTGCCAGGCACTGCAAAGGAAGGTATTTTTCTTGACATTTTTCTACCTTTGAAAATACAGCGATTTGTTATCCTAGGTTTATGATGTTGGGACATACTAAAACATTAGTTCCACAAATATTCTGTACTTAAAATTTAACTGTTAGAGGCAAATAGATGGTGAGCAGTGGTCGCTTGAGTTATAGCTCCTTGGAGTAACATGCTAGGCTTTCTATAGGCATGCAGACTGGGTGGGGTAAATGTGCATTTTTTCCAAAATTACGTGAACAGGTATGCAGGGTTAAATCATAGATAAAATAGAACTACTAAGGATTATAGGTAGAAGTACTTCTGTCGACCTGAGTTAGAATATTTAATAACATCAGCACTGAATTTGGCAACTAAAATAAATAGAAAGGGAAACTTGATTTTTGTTGTCTTACAAAGGAAAGCATACAAAATTCATCTGCAGAAAGAGCTTTCTGAAACTGAATTAAAGAATATTTAGCTTTTTAAGAGTGTTTGTCTTCTTTAAAAAAAAAAAAAGATTAAGGTGGCCTGCCACAAACACATTGAGGTACTATACATTTTAATGTCTAAAGAATCTTCTCCTTTGCAAAGCACAGTTGCAATTTTAATGTACTTCTGTGATTGTTTGATACATATCTTTCTCTCAAACTAGACTAGAGCCTTCTAGGAAGGTAGGAACTGGATCAGTTTTGTTCATTATATCTCAGTGCCTAGCAAGGTGCAAATTGAGTACAGGAATAGACAGACATTCACATTGTTGAAATGATTAAATGACTGAGCCAATGAGTTTTAACTGTTTTCTACCTCTACACCACACTGCTCACATGTGCAACTCGCCAATCTCTGAGATGCTGAAAGAAGGAAAGGGATGTGTGTTTCCCTGTATCCATCTCCTTCCGCATGATCACTACTTTACACAGTAGATTTGGGCAGATGTTCATTGTTGTTTATAGAGTGCGTTGCATGGATCTACAAACTCTTTAAGAAGTACTTCCAACATGAATTTTTTTTTAAGCCAGAGAAAAGAAGGCACATGAGACTTTCCATGAATAGTTTACTAGAAATCCACATAAATTCAGATTTGAGACTACCTTTGTGTAAGTAAATCACTGTTAAGAGTTTCTCATATTCATCCAGAAATTTTTAACATATATATAAAAACCTACACACAGGTATTGGTGTTTATGCAGATGCAATCATACTACACATCCTTGATTTTTTTTTTTTTTCTTACAATGTTGGACATCTTTGTACTTTACAATTGATATGGTTTGGCTGTGTCCCCACCCAAATCTCATCTTGAATTCTCAGGTTTGTGGAAGGGACCCAGTGGGAGGTAATTGAATCATGGGGGCAGGTCTTTCCCATGCTGTTCTTGTGATAGTAAATAGTCTCACGAGATCTGATGGTATTATAAGGGGAGTTTCCCTACACAAGCTCTCTTTTTGCCTCCTGCCGTCCATATAAGATGTGACTTGCTCCTCCTTGCCTTCCACCATGATTGTGAAGTCTTCCCCAGCCATGTGGAACTGTAAGTCCATTAAACCTCTTTCTTTTGTAAATTGCCCAGTCTTCGTATGTCTTTATCAGCAGTGTGAAAATGTTCCGATACAATAATATATGGAGCCATCACATTTATGATTCAAAGTATTCCATAATATGATGTGCTTTAACCAGTTTCTTATTGATGGATTTTGGGGTTGTTTTCTGGCTTTATCTTTAAAACACTGCTGCAGTGAACATGCTTATATGTATATCTTTGTTTTATACAAATAACCTGGAATCTTTGTTTTTGAAAATTCATTATTCAGGTACTCTTAGTTGCAGAAGAAAAAATAATGAAAATATGCACTAATGCTTATCATTAGCTTTCTAATTAAGAAATTACTTCTCAAACCACCCC